TATTTTTTAAAAGTTATGATTAATTTAATTTGTATATATGTATATCGATATAAAACTCTACATAACAATTTTATCTTAAAAAAGTTATCCGAAAATCGTTTACTTAGCATCTTATGTTTCACAATAAAACCTATTTGTTGCCTACGTGGCGCGACACATGGCGAAAAATTGGAATGCCAAGTGTCGTTGTCTCGTGGCCTGGCTGCGAGACCGGCTTTATTTATTAGTGATATGATATATTAGATTTTCTTCAAGTATGACAATAGTATGATACTAGATGGAAGCCCGTGCGATGCACGATTTTTTATACATAAATCTCATGAAAAGATTATTTTCTTAATTTAACCCTATAAGTTTTTTTTATTATTTTGCTTGTTAGAAAATGGATAGTTTGTTTTATTTTTATGCTACTTATAATGCGACCTTAATTTACTAATATTAGTTATATGAAAATTATAAGTATGATAGATATTAGAATAAAATCATAATCCTGTTCGTATTTTTTTTAACCTATGATTCGTTTGTATACGAAAACACGTTGTTCCACTATACATATATAGTTATAGAATCACTATTTTTCTTTCACAAACAATAACTTAGACCACCATTATTCTTTTACTCCGTATCAACTTTATACAATGAAAAATTAATAAAGTAAACCCAAAACTACAGGGTTAAAATAAAGACAGTGGGAGTAAAAGATATGGCTTTATAAATTTTTAAATAGTTAAATGATATATATATATATATATATATATATATATATATATATATATATATATATATACCAAGAGTGTTACATTACTAAATTTAATCTAATTGAATGAAATTAAATCTTTATAATGAAATTTCATTATCATATGTCCTTAATAATAGAGTTATATGTATAGTTGTATACACACTACTACAATGATTTTACAATAATAATATAGATTTTCTACCAGAAACTATTACACACACACACATATTATTGTCTATTTACAATTGAATAAAAAAAAAATCAAAATTATATTTTTGAGAGGATGTATACAAATCTTTAATATCATCCTATCTTATATATTTGTGGAGTAGCAAATAAAGCTCTTATAAAATTTTTTATCTAGTTGCTAAAATAAGATAAAAATAGAACATTATTGGTTTTTTTTTTTTTTTTTTTGTAAGAATATTGATAAAGACTGAACGTTATTGTTATTTATTTTTTTTGAAGAATATTGATTTTTTTTAAAAAAAAAATTGAAGAATATTAGTTAATTATTTATAATTTATATTTCTTTTAAAATGGTTTTTTTTTTTTAAAAATGATTGAACATTTTCTTAAAAACAAAATGAACATATATTTTCCTTTTTCAAATATTTAATTTTAAAGTGTTTGTATATAATAATTGTATAATTTATAGTTTTTTTTTTAATTTAAATCCTAATATCAAAAGATCATCTTTGAAAAAAGATAATTTTTAGTTTTAAAATAATTTAAATCGTAATAAATCATTTTCGTCGTTTTTACCCACGTGGCAAAATTTTTAAATTTCATTTGTTACTTTTGCTTATGTGGCGAGTGAAATTTTTTTAATTCTAAAATAAAATACAAATCTAACTTTTAATTGGTCGAAATAATACCTTTGCTTATGTGGCGCGCTAAATGCTCCTGAAAAATGCCTACTTTATTTTCATTCGTCACTTTTGCTTATGTGGCGAGTGTATTTTTTAATTCTAAAATAAAATACAAATCTAACTTTTAATTGGTCGAAATAATACCTTAGCTTATGTGGCGCGCCAAATGCTCCTGAAAATATTAAAATCACACAAAAAAATAATTTTTGTAATTAGATCATACTCATAACATTTTGATTAATTTGGCATTGTTTGTTAAGGATAATTTTTTTATTAATTTATGTAATTTATTCCCCATAATAAAATTTTTGATAAGAACATTAAAAAAATAACAAAAAATATTAGATACACATAAATATAGATAAGAATCATTATTAAAAAATAATAAAAACGTGTATTCCATTATTTATCTTCTATTTCGATTGAATCACCAATTTCATTCACAACCATATCTACTCCATCTAATAAAAGTGGATAAATTGAACATAGAAATGTTAGCAAAAATAAAATTGATATAAAATTAATGTTTACAATTTTATAAAATAAATCAATATATTTACCCAGAAGTGAAAATTTGTTGCCAAATTGATCTAAAAATTGTAATTGTACAAAATCAAATCTATGCATTGAAAGTTTTTTTAAGGAGTAAACTTTTCGTTCAATAAATTTTGGACGACAGTGTTGAACAGAGTTGGCTTTAATCGAGGCATGAAAGTATAGTAATCACCCTCTAATTAAAAATTAAAAAATTAAGTTAATTGAATGACTTGATTAAGCTACCTCAATCACAAAAATTTTGTTTTAATCATAAAATTAATTAATAAAAACTAAAAAGGTAAATTTAATAAATGTAAACAATTTATAAAGATATAATACCTCATCGTTCAATAGGACCAGGCCATATCCAAACTTATTAAACTATCTTGTTTGCGAAAGGTAAGTATGTCAAACAGGCGAGCGAGAAACTCGTATTTTGATATTTCAATAATTTTTGCTCGAATTTAATTCTCTAATTAAATTAGATTTGCATAAACAAAACATAAATATACAATCGTTAACTATCCCAAATAAACACAATGTAAGCAATGGTTACAAATATAAATTTAAACATGAATTTTAAAAATTAAGCTAAGAATTACCTAGCAATTGATGACCTAAAACTGACACAAAATTACTAACACAAAATTAAGCTATCATTTGATTTTGTATTTTGACATGAAGTTTTGTTGGTGTCATATGATGCGTCAATTTATAATGGTATGTATCACAAATTTTAATTTCATTATAATTAAGGAATAAATTTTACTTTATTATCATAAACACTATCAAAATTTATCTTATAATGATAGGTATCAAACTTTATTGTAGTCGTTTATCATTTAAATCTAATATTATTTCTGATATGATTTTAATTAATTAATAAATATCTTTTTTGAGCTTTATCTTTTTATAATTTTTTTTTTGGATTTGTTATACTCGTAGTAATGATTTAATAAATTTCTCTTTTATATAATTTTTTAATTCAAGAATAAAATATAAATCTCTTTTTATCATTGGTCGAAATAATTAGATACTTATATCGCGCTCCAAATGCTCTTGAAAAAGGCCTACTTTATTTATATAATATTAGATTAGATTTGAACCAATTTACTTGCCTCATTTTCTTATCTTAGGCTTTCCAATATACTTTGCCTCATTTTCTTTTTAAGGAATTAATCATCACTACTTTCTCTCTTAAATAGATCGAGTACCACAATTACCCACTCATTTACGTTTTCAGATGTATAAAATCTTGTACAAATTACTATTGTAGCTAATTAATTAGGACGGACGGGAGCATAATGATTAAATAAAGCAATAAGTGCAAGCATTGTTGGGAGAAACAAAAAATGGCTAAAGGGTAAAACATAGAACATTTATTCTAAAAGGTGAAGATGCTAATCAGTAATCATTATTGCTATTACAATATAATGTGCAGTGAGTACAAATGCAATGTACCAAAGAGGCAAAGAGAATGGGTTGTTCATGAATTGCATATCTTCCTACTGTTCCAAATCTTGACTTTGATTTAATGAAACAATATCGAGCTACGTGTTTAGTAAATCCAAGAATTTTATTTTATTTTATTTAACAAATCAATTGAATTATGCAAACAATGGGTTTATGGTGATGGTATTATTATTTTCCATAGTTTTGTTTGTGTGGAAAACAGCTACCAGTAAACTATAACTAGGAGACGACGTAGCCCACTGATACGTACTTTTTATTTATTTATTTATTTTTTTTTTTTTTTTTGTGTCTTTCGAGTATAAGATTAGTCTTTCGAGTATAAGATTAAAAAATCAAAAAAAAAAAGAAAAAAGTAGGAAGGAAAAAAAAAAAAAAAAACTAAGTGGCATTTTGCTACTCGTATTATAACTTAAACCATACAAGTATTACCTAATTAATGGCACAAGTGTCATTAGAGATTATGCACACATACTAAAAGTTGTTATGTTAATATCTAAGGAGTAATATTTTTTTTGGTGAAATCTACGGAGTAATATTAACTAATAAATACTCGCTTTAGAATTTTCGATTGCATTGTTATTTTAAGCGTCCAATAATTCAGATGGAGTATTATAGAATGAAATTGTATTAGAGTAGTTTTGATAGTACGAGTATGAAATGGGAGTCATTACAAATGGCTTCAATGATCATGCATATTAAAATTGCATTCTACGGAGTATTTATTTCATTTTACTTGTCTAAACTTATCAGATCTTATATGAATTTATTTGAACTTATATAATCTTATATGAAGATTATTAAATTTTATTAGAGTTTATTGTAGTTGTAAATCAAATTAAAATAACCTTTATGAGTAATTCTTATCAGATTTCACCCTAACTTAATTTTCCTAGATAGTTTATTTGACCTTATTAACCCTTGATTAAACTTAACTAAACTAGTAAACTTATATAAGTAAAAAAATAAAATAAAAATGAATAATGCCCAACTCTCGATAGAAAATGAACAAGCTGAATAAATACTTAAATACAAGTAACTTTGAGTACATGATTTATTTATTTTTATTAGAACTTTTACATGATTTGGGATAACTTAAATTGTCATACATACATCACCTGTTATACACACGACCATACCGATATAAGTTACGACGAAGATCAAATAAAATAGAAAACATCACCGTTCTAGAATTAGACACTACTTGCACATAAAAACCTCCGTTTATCCTTTCTGGTACACTAGTAGATGGTCCATAACCTAATCTAAATAAACCACAAGTGTGTACGTAGGTGAGTTGGTGACAGATTCCTCGTAGCTACCCCATCTCATACAAATTTACAACTTTTTGCGACAATTTCAAGTTGAGACCAACCAAGACGGACAACTATAACAAATATTATGACATTATCAAACTAGTACTGTACTATTTTGCTTTTGTATTGTATAAATAAAATTTCTTTGCTTTTGGATTTTCCCAAAAGGTACATTTCATAAAAACTCAAACAATTATTTAATGGTCCGACTAATGCAAAGCACTAATTAATCATGTAATTGCCAGCCATATAAACCTACTTAACATGGAAATACTATGATTAGTAACTTGACCAAAAAAGGATATGACTGAAAAGAATAATGTTGAGGAGAGAGAAAATGAACCTTATAATTCATTTCTTCAATCATAACTTCTGTTGAGCGTCAGAAAGCAACCTTTCACTTGCTCCGCCAACTACATTGCAATCATTTATGTACCAATCACAATTCAGAAAGAAATCAACCTGCATTAAGATAAAATAATCAGTATGATTAATAATTTATGTGATCCAAATCAATATGTCATCTATTAGCAATTGGTAGCTCAATTGTGCAGCTGCACAAAATCTGTAGTCACTACATCCAAAGTTACAGATTTTCGATCCGAAAATCGTACACCTTATTCGGAAATAAAATATAACAAGGGTATATTCACAACTGGCGAGCCAGTCAGATATATCGATAGAACAGGGTACTGAAGATGGTGACAAGATAACAGATCTAGAAATAAGTTTAGATTACATGTACAGCTGAGCATGAATGCAGTTTCAGTTTCTCTGACATGTTACAACTAGTATTATCATTGGAAGTAACATCACAATCATTTACTAATAATGAAAAAGTTCAAAAATCCAACTTGAAGGCCAAGGCCAATTTAGAGGTAGGACATCTAAGAGGTCAATAGGATACATGTAGTTGAAAGCTGAGGAGCAGGAAGAACACTGGAGGTAACACCAAAAATGGAGTATCATCAAAAACGGAAAAACAACTGATAAATTACCCCATGGAAAAGTTCATTTCTTAATTCCTGAATCATGTTAACATATGCGGATACTAAATTCAGCAAATAATGCAGCATAATTATTTCCCCTCTTGTTTTTTATACACTTGACAAGATTAATGAATAATATTACCAGAAGTGGTCTAATATTACAAGTCCATAGCACCGAACTCAATATCAGCTTCTGAAATAGCTTTAGCAGTATAAAAAATGATTTTCATTGAAATTTTTTAGAAATATCACCATGATTCGAACTACTAATATAGAAGCACAAAATCATCCACCGGGGTTTTCTTGCAACGCAATTGTTTCTAGACCTAAGGAACTTCATATCAAAAGTCATAACAACCCTGTACAACAATATGGTCCTACGAGGTAAAACTCATAGCCACTGCTGCCAGAGAAGATGTATTGGCATTATGATGCTATGAGTATTCAAGTAGCTTGATAACACCAGTACACAACAATCAGTGAGATTCACAAAAAGAATTAACTATATACCTATGTGAGACAGGATCTTCATCGTGTTCTAGACAATATATCCAACTATACAGTATTCACATGAAAAACTGGCTCTGTAGTAAAATGCATGAGCTGAGCTATATCTGTTCACCTATTAAATACCAGTATCTTTGGTATAATCACAGCTATGTCGATAGCGAAGTGGGATCTTTAACAGCAAGAATAAAGTAAGCATCGTAGCCATTTGCATCAACCTCTGGCATAATATACACGAGCAAAACAAGGGCAGACTTAACGTATGTATGTACTTCACTGCTCCAGAGGATCCGAGGCTGTTACCAAAAAACAAAAGAAAGGTGTTAGCCAAGAGCCAGCTTATCAAATGATTAGTTAGCTCCAAGCAATGATACCAAAAAAGGTGGAGGAAAGGAAGATTAAACAAAGAAAAAAAAGAAAGAAAAGAAACATACTTGAACTTTATCATGCTTTGATTTGCCAATAATACACCAGAACAAGATGATTTTACAGCATAATAATTCATCTTGTGAGGGGATTGGCTCCTCGGGTCCTTGAGACATGTGGAGAGGGTGCCATATGTGCACATCTTCAACTCAAACAGCTAAACTTCAAGAAATAGACAATATATAAGCAAAGTTGTGCAGGAAAACCTACTCATGGAAACAACAAAGAGAACATATAAAGTACAGAGTATCCTAGATAAGAACTATGATAAGCTATGGAAGCACAATTGCATAAACATACATTCATCAGCAACAGAGACATATGAAAAATATAAGAAATTCTAAATAGCATGAAGGATCAAAGTTTGCAAACATGAACATCTACTTCACTGAAGAAAAGAAAATACAAAGAGTGCATAAAATGGATTAAGTTAACATAAGGGACTAAGGGGAAAAAACAGATATAGAATCAAAAGATTATTATTTTTTTTGACAGAATCAAAAGATTCTATGGAAAAAAAAAAAAAAAAAAAACCCTCAAAATTACACTGGTATAAAAGCTCTAGAAGATCAAGGGCTTCAAGGCTGCAAAAGCATCACTAATGTACTTCTTAAGTATAAATATACAATGTGGTAACTCAAAATATAAGCTGACCAGTATACCTTTTATGAAGGCCATACATTCTGCATCGACGGTGTACCAACCAATAATCAGTTCTGCATGGAGGAAGTCTATCGAATTACATGATACTCAGACCTGGAAAACTTGAACCCTACTCACTTTGCAGCATAGTGTTCTGTTACTGTTAGCTAATCACATCATTTATTCAAGTGATAGATAGCCATTACACAGTAACTGAATCCCATTCCTGGAAAATCAACACAAGCTCAAGTTATTAAAATTTGAAAAACATGTACTAGGAAACATAAGTCTGACATAAATCACATCAGAAAATTTAGCAAAAATTCCCCTCAAAGGGCAGCATAAATGTGCAAGCACAGGTATCAATCACAAACGTAGTCTTCCTCAGATGGATTAAGAAATTTACCATATAATACGACATCATCTCTTTTTACTGGAGCTAAGGGATTCCACATTCCTGTCTTTCTTCTGTCTCTGTTCAGCTTGCAGGCCTACCAATGAAACAGTCAAAAACACAAACTTGAAAATCCATCCTTAACTGACAGAGTGGCATCATTTGCCCTCTTAAAGAGCCAGATAACAATCAAATAGAGGAACTCACATCTTAAAAACTGAAGTAAGTTATGAGAAACAGAAACACCCCACTGTATTTAAAATGCCCTTATTTTTCTATTTAATAATAATCTTTCATAGAGGAATTATGAAAGGCATGCATATACAGATTATCAGGAGACTTTCACCTGATCTTGCACCTTAAGCTACAAGATAAGCCATCTATCAACCGGATCAGACTCCCTTGCTCATCCTTTGTAGTGTTATTTACGTATATGAAGAAAGCAAAGGAAGTTCATTGATGAGTGTCATTAATGACACTATTTTCCAGCCTTGTTCCTAATATTTTAGGGTAGTCTCTGACTCTCTGTAGCATTTGAGCCATATATAGTAAAGAATAGCAGCGGCCATCTTTGGAAGATTAATGAAGATCTACAGATGTTTGGAAGATTTATTTACTAAGGAGGAAATCCTATCATATAAGAAAAGGTATGTCAAAACATAGATTCTCCCAAATTCTATCTAACTATTACATCTTCGATATTTTTTTTGGAATTGTACTTGGGGAATCATTCTATCTTAACCCTATAAATCTCCGTGAACATTCAGCGTTTAAAGAAGCTATCATTGTCCATTCTCCTTACTTGTAAATCGCTTACTCATGTTCTCGTCCAGAAGGAACAACCAAGAGGGACTCGCTTTTTCTAGTTTGGAATTGACAATGTGTTTCCCTAAAAGATTTGCTTCTCTACTTTGTAACATGAGTGAGTAGTTCTTTTATGCTCAGTGGTAATTAGATAGAAGCCATGTAATCAGTGTTTGAGACAATGATTCCGTATTATTCGTTATTTCTATTAACTTATTTTGAGTATTCATGAAATACTTGTTTTAACTTATGAATGATGACTTCTGGCAGCCAACAATTATTTGAGTCGAATTTCATGCTCACTCCGTGTTTAAATAAATGAAACGTTTTGACCTTTTGCACTATTCATCTAATTCAATTTGACTAATGCTTGTGATTTATACATAAGAATAAATATAGCCATGTGGGTACTTGTTGGAATCGTCTCAATGAATAGTTTATTGATATTAAATTGTTACAACTTATTGATAATTAAAGATATTTTTAATCAAAGTTTTGCATGGCATACTTGCACAAGGGAAATGTTTCATTTATTTGAACACGGAGGGAGTACCTATTAAGGAGTCTAAGTCCATAATTGATTAAGGTTCCTTACCCAAGTACCAATCAATATTCAAGGGTGAGTTGTACTTCATGATCTAGGCTAAATCATGTTCCTATAATGTTGTGGACCTTGTGGTTGTCTAAGATTGATGAAGTCTTTCTAGTTTGTAATGCAATTGGTAGTGCTAAATCTCATGCTCGTAGTATTGGGGTTGTTCTATTGTCAGTGAGGTCATACCCATGTCTGACTAAACTTAAGGAAAGGTATGGGAACTTATTCCAAGTTTCCAACAAACTATCTATTCAAAGGTTGATTGAAGTGTCGATGATAATGTACAATTACCTGACTACAGTCTAATGATCCAATGAGTATATTTTCTATTATTAATTGTTCATATATTGTTATGCTAGTGTAACATGTCGTTAATTTAGTTCTTTAACTCCCCCACCCCCCCCCCCCCCCCCCCCGCCCCCCAAAAAAAAAAAAGAAAGAAAAAAAAAGTGTGCTACATATTGTGTGGAACATCATTTACTAGTTTTCTATTCTTAGATTCGCTTTCTTCATGGGATCGTCTCTTACTTACCCTTTGTTAGAGTGGATAAAATTTTGTGTGCACTTTGACAACAATCCACTCGGTTGCAAGTCATGCAACAAATAATACCAACATGAAAATGGGCAAATCAGGGATATAAAGCATATAAGACAAAATAGCTCATTTCTTAAGAATGACATAAGATTAGAAGGTACTTCCAATAACATTACAACAAAATTTCCTTAAACTCATAGATCATGAAAGAAAAAAACTCCCACCAGCATTAAAATAAGATTTCTTACAAAAAAAGACAAGGTTAATCATTATATCTATTCGTAATCTTGAAGATTTATTTTACATGAGAAAAGAAGATAACAAAACAGTCAGATGGTTTCATTATACTACATTTCAAAATGATGCCTATTTTGGTCCATTTCAAAATGTTCATAACATGTTACCCTACTCAAAGGTTGTCATATCCCTTTTTCTATCCTAGTATCCTACCCCTCTCACCCCCCCCCCCCTCCTTAATTTACACCTGTTCATTCAATCTTACTTTATCAACATTTTTCTTACACCCACCCATCTTTTAACACTCTTTTATTATATCACCTATTTCTTACACTCACTACTGTTTTACACAATCTCTCTCCTTTGTATTAATATTTGTGCAAATAGTAAATGTAAAGGTCAATGTGAAACACAGGTAGTAGGATCTACAACATTATTGGAAGACATTTGTACCTCTTTGTTGCTTGGTCGATTTAGAAACACCACCTGTTGATGATGGAGAACGAGGCCTTTTGTGGGCCACGGTTCTGGCTGAGGTTTCAGGTTTCTTAGAAGGTAAAAGGGCTGAGGAAAGAAGAGCATCCACAGCCTCTCGCTGTTGCTTTCTATTAGAAATCATGTCCTTTGGCCTCTCAATCTCAGCAGGTCTCCCATCCTCATCCACGCCTTTACTTTGTACCTTGCTGTTAACATGCGATCTTAGACCTCCTTTATCTTCCTGGTGTTTAGAATGCCGTACAACAAATTCCTGGTTTTTAGAATTCCCTACAGGGTCCTGTTTTTTAGAATGTCGTGCGGGGTCCTGATTTTTAGAATGTCGTACAGGGTTTTCAACTCCTTTTGACCCCAGTGTATCAGAGATTTTCTTAAGACCACTATTTTCATGCTCAAGCTGGTGTACACCCCTTGTATATTTACCTGTTTTCCCCCTCGTATGAGCATGCTCACTTGACCCCGGTGGATTTGTGATTTTATCATGGATACTTTTTTCTTGGTCAGGTAGGTTGACACTGCTAATGTTTTTTTTTCACACTCTGATGAATATCCTGCTGCTCAGCCTGCTTCTTACATTTCTCAGTAGTATCCTCTTTAGTTCTGGCAGTTTCAAGGCCCTCACTTGCAGAAGATTTATCACGCTTATGCTTCATGTCCTTGTTCTTACTCTTCCTTCTGAAGTTATCATGATTACTTCCAATTTGCAAGCCATGCTGGCTTTTCTTAACTTCTTCACTAAGCTTGCCACAATAATCATCTGAACATATGGTGTTGGTGGTTGTACCCAATATGTTCTCACATATGGACTTGTAAGGTCTTTTCACAGATATAATCAAATTCCGCTCCCTAGCATCCTTCATAAGAGCAGCCCAATCACGGTTTTTCTTCAATGTCCTCTCATTGCCCAAAATCCACAGAGAAAGCCTTGCTCTTGTGAGAGCAACATTCATTCGCCTAATATCAGCAACAAACCCAATACTGCTAGAGTTCATTTTGGAAGCCGTAGAATATGTATCCGAAGATCTAACTGTTGAAAGAATGAGTATGTCAACCTCCCGACCTTGAAAACCATCAATAGTATTAAATTCCATTTCTGAAGAAACAGACGATCCAAATACACTGGAAAATCTTGAGCGTAAAAGGGAAAGTTGGCTCTTGTATGGAGTAATAATACCAATTCTTTCACCAATGAACTCTGAAGAATACCTGAACAAAGCAAATAAGAATACATCAGCAATTTTAAATAATGTGGACAGGCATCACAAAATAATAACTAAGAAGCACTACCGATACCTTTTCTGAAAAAACTTCACTATTTCAATGGCAGCATCTGCCTCACCCTCATTATATAGGGATGAAGACCCAGCATTTCTTCCATAGGACTCCTGACCATCACTGACATTATAGAAAACATAAGGTCCAAGACCCGGAGTCTTGTGAAAAGGTGCAGCTTTACTTGATGACAGAACACCGTCCAGCAACTTGCCATCATAAAAATGCAAGGAAGGAAAACGACTTATCTCAGGATGCATTCGGTACTGCATATAAGAAACACCAATATTGCTCAGCAACTACATTAGAAACTGAACATTTTGACATAAGTAAGAATCATTTTGGAGAGAAACAATCGAAAACAATTTACCAAAAGGCTATTTATTTCTATCAACAAATGAAAAAAATAACAATCAGTAAGCAGTTGGGTTCAAGTTACTTGTTCAGTGAGCATAATGACTGGATAACCAGCCCTCTGTAAACGCTCAAACATGCTGCATTCGTACAAATATCTGCTGGCAACATTAGAAAGGACTGTCGCAGGAAGTTGCTTTGGGTCACCAACCTTCAAAAAATGTTTATATGTAAACATCAATATAAGATTGAATCTTATTCAGAACAAATAGGCCAATAGAGTCTTTATTACTCACCATGATGCATTTTGTGCCACTTGATTTTAAAAGCTGAAGAGGTATCAGAGTGGCTGGTTCCAAAGCCTACAGTAACAGAAGAATATCCCGAACACATCAGAAATGATTCAGGGTGGGGGCAAAAGTTCAACACAACAACTACCCTAATACAAACCTGTGCTGCTTCATCAATGACAACAGCATCAAACAAGTTATGTTCAGACAGGTTAGCAATTTTACTATTAGACATAGACTCAAAGCATGCCGAATATAGATCTCCACCGCACCCACTCAATGTTGTTACCACTATTTCAGCTTCCCTTAATATTGACCTCCTTAATTTATTCCTTAACACTCTAATTTCTTCACTAGTCTTCTTTTCCCGGGCTTGTATTGCTGCAAGCCTAATGTAAATCTCCTTTTTCTGATTATAAAGGCTTCGCAACCTAGCTTCCAGCTCTGAATTCAACATTTTCTTTCCAATATCAGCTTCAAGATGTTCATCTGAAGCACCATCTTTGTCGGTACTTTCATCTTTCAAATTAGCCCGTTTAGATTCATAGAATTTGATGCGGTCTACCGTCTTTTCTAGACTCTCACGTAGAGTTGTCGAAGATTCTACAATCAACTCATCCTTTCCATCTCCCACAGCCATCTTTTCTTCAGCAAGACGATGTTCTACTAGTGTATCAATGAAAAATGGTAATGAATTTGGATGTATTGTTTTCGCATTGCCAACACGTACAAGGTATGGTTTGTACATGTTTCCATCAGCACCATACAGACCTTCACCAGCTAACCTTGAAACTAATTCATCAACTGCAGCATTAGACTGAGCACAAACAAGCACCCTCTTTCTCCCAGAGGACCTTGGCATTTTCACATCATTCCCAGCATTATCATTCAGTTGTCTAGCCAAGGCAGCATCTTGCCATGCCCTTGCAATAGCAGCAGACTCGCTAATACTTTTCCGGAAATTGGTAAATGGAGTAGAGTTGTGTTTCAAATTGTTACCATATTGTTTGTCAATAGTTTTTGACTGTAATGATACTGCAAGCAGCGCACTGATAAGAGCCACAATAGTGCGTGTCTTCCCAGTACCTGTATATAAAGACCATCACATAACAGGAAGTAATTTGATATCTTGCCAACTAATGTTACATAGAAAAGCAACAAACCTGGAGGACCCTGAACAAGAGACAAATCGAAATCATTTTTAGAATCAGGGATTTCTAAAACTGCATTGATTGCTTGAATCTGACTCCCATTGAAGGTTGACTTGAGCACTTGCTGCATTGGTCGCGACAGCTTGCTCAAATCTACCTTTCTATTCTGAGTAGAGGCATGAGAATGATCAGCAGGTTTCAAGATAATTGGAAGGGCAGGGATAACCTCAATTGAAGAAAGTGCTTGAAATTCTCGAAGTTGAGGCGTAATACTCATAATACGACTCAGGTACCATTTGCTCCTCTCAAGAAGCTGCTTTCTAGCTCGATTTAAGCGTGAACATCCACTTAAAACATAAAATCTTATAAGAAGCATATTTAGCCTTCTTTTATTGTCTTTCTCACGTCTCTCCACCTAAGACACACCAAAGCAGAATTACATAGAGTAGAGAAGCAACAATTGAGATAAATTGAAACTGACAAACAGTGCAATTAATGAGCATAAAAGAAAAAAAGTTTTCCGCGAGAATTCATGGAACCTTTTTGCTATTCATAATTTAAAGGAATGTGTATGCTCTTTGGTCCCTAAGTTCAAGGAATGCACTATCCCTACTTTTTCAGTCCCATAATATACTACTCCGTACATTTTTTTTCATTTAAAAACCTCTAATATACCCCAAGCGTCTAATACTTGCATCCTTTAAATAAATAAATAAATAACTAAAATAAAATAAATTAAAATAAACTATACCTAATTTTCAAGGAAAATTAGATTTTAAAACCTGTTATACCTCTAACAGTCTAATACATGCACCCTTTAAAAAAAGGATACAAAAGTTGTAAATATTTAAATTATATGGGTTTAACTCCCGATATTGTAATACCCATGCATAAGCACAAGGTACACTCTATTAGACATAGTAGGAAAGAAACATAAAAAAGAGACCAAAGAGTATTTAAGCAGGAATCAACTAGGAGGGATTGGGAGGAATAGACTATTAGTTCATACCTTTCCTACTAAGTATACGTTATGAGGAGAATTTTTTATGGGTTGTTTAGTGAGTAAAACTAAGTCATTCTCAGCACAACTGCTAGATGCAGAAGAACCAAGCTCGTCATGGACGCATCGAACAAGATGGAATTCATCAACTCTTTCTACTGAAACCACAGATAAACTGCCACAAGACATTTCTTCTAATAAAGACACCTCTTGGAAAGAACTGCGTAATTGTGCTTTAAACTCTTCCAAAATCAAGGGCCTGAAAATGTCCACATACTGCTGAGGTGACTCAAAACATACTGGAACCTCCTTTAAATCAAGCGGTGTCTCATTTTTCTCTTGATGATCAGTATCTAATCCAACAGCAGCAAAATAGTCCATCTCCAGTATTGCCCTAAACCATTCATCCATTTTTGGAGGCTTCAACCGTCTGGCTGCTGCCTCCATCTTACGCAAATATACAGATCTGCTATCAATAGGATCTGCAAGTTGAATGACTTTACGTTTAGGAAAAGAGGAACTCTGCATTTTCAAAGATGAATGATTACGTCCGGCAGACTTCAATGCAGATTCTAATGGATCTTCAGTATCACGCACAATTTCCTTTAAAATTGTGTCATTCGAACCAGAAACTGCCTTTTTCTGGGCATTAGCCAAATGATTGTTTTTGGCAGTTTCAGCAGGGAAGGATCTAGCCGTGGCTTTGTCAAGTGTGATGCCTTCTTTTAGGATACTCTTAGAGACGTCTGTTTCTCCAATCTGCTTGTCTTTTATTTTGAAAAGGGATGTTGATGTCAGGGCATGTTTTGTCACAGCAGGTTTTCGAGACTTTGGTGCAAGCACAACATCTTTTGGAGCTCTTTCTTCAACAACCTCTGACAAAATCCTTGCAGACCCAGATTCAGAATAGCTCTTTTCAATATTGGATTGCATAACTGACTTATCGGCAGAGGGAGCCAAAACATCTCCCTTAATTGGTTTTATAGCATCACGAACTACAACAGGAGGTTCCAAAATTTCAGTCTCATCATCTGATAATAGAATCACCGGGTCACTATTTCTGCTTCTAGTGGCCACAGTGTCCAAAATTTGCACAGAAGACTCAATATTAAAAGATGAACTCTTCTTCCCAGCTGCCAATCCATCTGAAAGTGATTTTGACTTTGGAATGCATTTGTCAATATATGAAACTTTATTTGACAATGAAACAGAAAGACGTGATACTTGCTCCTTCAATGAATCCATTGGAACCACATCTGCTCAGCAAACCATTAGACATAGGCCAGCACAAGGAAAATAGTGAGCAATTATAAGTAAGACATAGTTAAGTTTTATTATTTAAAAAAAAGGGGGGGGGGGGCAAACAACAATTCCTAACGCACCTGATGCAATCAACTTTTCAATAACTTTGACAGTCGCCTCTGATCTTTCATTGCATAAACTCTTTAGCAAAGCAGGCAAAGAGGTCATAGACAGTTTCCAGTATCGAATAACTGCTTCCAGTTCAGACTTTCCCCAATCTACCAGATCATGTAGCCAGCTCATGTCGGATAATCCATTCATCTTCCTTGAATTTTTCCCAAGAAACACCTTAGATGATTGTGTAAGTTCCCTGAACAAAATGGGCAGGATTTCAAGCAAACGGACACAAGACATCTGTAACAAGTAAAAATATTGATTACATTCATCTAACCATACCAGACAAGCATGTACATTGATGACACAACAAAGATTTTTCAAAATTAAATAAATAATAAATAAATAATAAAAAAAATAAAAATAAAAAAAGGGAAACAAAACAAGATACATTGCCTCACATCACATACCGTCAATTTAAAGACCAAAATAAACCTTACTATCATCTTGCCCTTGATTCCAATCTTTCTCTCATCTAAGAGGTTCTAGGAGGAAAATGCAAGTAGTTTGATACTAGATTCCAAGTTTCATAGTCCAACTTTGCTCACTAAAAATAAAATAATCTGATAAACCGGGGTACAATACACTAAATTGTTGTTTGGAACCATATAGGGCCACTAGTCCATCACATAAAAGCCCATGGTGGACTTGGGTTCATGAAGGGAGGCATGTACATAATCGGCTTGAGAGTTAAGAGGCAAAGTGGATAGTTCCAACCACCCAATGAGCCTTCCGAGGTCTCGAAGGGTCCATAAAAAGTACCTCGTCCTATATCCAAAATTGAAGTGGATATGAGAGGTGTCCCCAAAGTTATATGAGTTTGGTTCAATAATATGGCTATTTCAGAAATCTGTTGTAGCAGTCATCAAAAGCTGCAAGAGATGGTTTCAATCACCACATAACCCAATTTCCTAATGAAACCTTTGTGAAAGTATCCAAAACGGGGCTTTATTGATGGAACCTCATGGTTGGTTGACAAGAATAATCAACATTGATGAAAATCACTACATTTATTTTTTTTCCCCAACATTCCTCTTATTTTTCGTTTCCCTATTTCTCCTCCATTTTTATAAATAGTTTAAATAAAAAAAATATTATTTTTTATATAAAAAAATAAATTTTATAAACACAAGCATGTAAACAATGCCTCTCATCACCAACACAATCCACCTAGAAATCTAAGTTTCAATCATTCCAAAAATGCAGTTGTACAACAAAATGAATGAGACAATATGCAACCTGCAATATTTAAAAAAATATCCAGTGCTGTCTATTGTTCAACAGTAAGAAGTTTTACACAAGTATGTATTCATATTGCATAGTACCAAAGGAGACATCTAGAGGCATAATCACAGAGAGGAAAAAAAAAAAGGAAAGAGTTTCAAGCTTACATATTCCATTCAACAAATGGAGAAAACCATCTCAATAACTTTATAAATAGTGGAATTAAAAAATAAAAAATAAAAAATAACAGGGATTGATAAAATACCTGTGAGATTCTATAATCCATAAAAGCCTTTCCTTTGTGCAAGCACTTTTTCACAGACGGCCATGCAACTTCAGCAAGCTCGGAGCTGAAGCTCTCCCAAAGTTTCTTATCAACCTTGGATAACTGTTTTCCATCATTCACTTGCAAAGAATTGAGGTTTAATTGCTGCAAGAACCCACCTTGAGATGCGAACTTAAGACTTAGCTCATCAGAAGAATTTCCCGCTGGGTGAGCAGCAGGTGAAAACCCTTCTTTAAAAATTTTGCAAAGGACAAAAAAGAAATGATGCAGACTCTGGAAATTGACAAGAACAGAATCCAACTGTACCTGAAATAATAGAGAACGGAGACTTCCAATGTAAGGAATGGCCATAAATATTTAAATCTCAACTGCTGAAAATTTCCTTATTTACGATAAACTAGAACATTGGAAAAATGTTTATTCTACTATGGTGGTTATGAATATATGATAGCATCAGTTTTCTCAGGCACAGCACTACATTATTGGCATCTATAACTGATCATTCAATAAAAACCTATAACATGACATGAACTCTGAGAAATATGACCTGAACTCTAATTATAAAAAAATCAACTAAACCATAGACAAAGTTTTACCAGCTTCAAAGCATGCTTCAAGCCTTGTAAAATTGCAGTCAATGAAGATCCTGAACAACAGAGGAACTGTAAACCAGAAGCAAGGCCACGTGTGTCCGAGACATACTCCAAAATACGCCTACCAACTTGCCTGACATTCTGCATCAAGCAGCAAGGTCTTCAAAATTCATAGCACCCAAAAAAATGTACAGCTATATACCTAAGTTTATGTTAAATCAGAAAAACGAAAAATAAAATTATTTTTTTTGCAAGAAACCACCTAATATATTAGACACTATATAGATAGCCAATTAATACATTTTTATTTTTAAGACGCACTTTCATGTGTTGTACTATGAAAAACATTATAAGAGCAAAAATCAAAGAAAGCCAGTGAGAAAGATATAGAGAATATGGAGGTTTAGGCAATACTAGAGGCATTAAGTTTAAAGGAGGAATGAGAGAATTGTGCTTAGGGCAAGGTTTAAACAAAATACAGTAAAACAACTAGGCATTAAAGTCTAAAAAATTCTAAATACTCTGTAAGTGAGAAAGGAAAGAAACAACAATAAGAGAAAAGAATAACACTTCTTCTGTCCCAATTTAGTTAGGCCATTTGCTTCTTTTAATTCAGTCTCCAAGACATCTTTGAACAAAAACATCTTTACTAGCGTGCTATTATAGAAGTCATATAATGCTCATATTTTGGATGAAAAAAAAACCAACAACAAATCTAAACTTATCCAACAAAACCAAAATGTTAAGATTGTATTTGAGACTATTGATGAAGAAAGGTATTCAAGGAGCTTGGAAATATTTACACCAAATCTCAAAAGTTTGAGTTAATAATAGAGGCGTGTGAGTTTGTGGTGTGAGTGAGTGTATTAGGTCGCTCAAAAGATGTGACAAATTCTTATTGGGCACAGTGTTTGAAAAGGCGTGCCTAGGCGCTGAGGCGCAAGGCGTTAGGGATCATGCGCTTTTGTGGTCTAGGTGAGGCGATTTCAATGATATACGACTCACTTCAATAAGGCGTGCCTTAGGTGCAAGGAACTTTGAAACGCCTTGGTGCGCCTTAAGCCTTTTTATACATTGATTGGGCAATTTACCAAAATCTCGCTGTGAGTGTATTAGGTCGTTCAAAAGATGCAATAATTCTTATTAGGTAATTCGCCACAATCTCCTTCAATAAAAAAGCAATAAATTCAACAATGGAAGTTTTGAGAGGTACATCATTAGGGTCTGAAAGCAAAAGGATCAGACTTTCACCCATCTGTGGCTCCCAAGTCCACTGCCTCCGAAGCTCTCCTTGCTCCAGTTGAATTATGAATTGTGCAGCTAACCTATAAGAAACACAATTGCATACAATTTTCAATACTACAGATCCAATTAACCTTTCCACAAAAAAGAGGCCAGTCAAGAAAGTTTCCACTATCACTGTAAAAACAGTCTTCCGTAAATTGCAGAGAAGAAAGCTTTAAAAGCACCAACCTTCGAAAGGTTCTTATCAAAGGGATACACATTGTTGACACCCTTACTGAATTTTTTGATACCTTCCCATCTCCACTATCATCAGAACCAGAAGGGCATTTCCAACCCAGAAAAGCTGCAACTTCAGCAGCTCCTGATGAAAGCCAAGTTTTAACAGGAAGTGACAGCTCAGAGTTATTTTCAGGCTCCACCATGGAAAATCGAGATAAAGCCCACAGGACAGCCTTAGCAATTGATACTGGTAGGATTGAAGGTTCAATGTCAAGCAAAACATCAAACCACAGCATAGGAGCACACATCCATTCAGTGTATTCCTGACAAACAATATTGCTTTGAAAGGTAAATTCATTCCAGCAACAAACACGTTTCTTGTCATCCAGCACAAAGCATGAAGTAGCATCATCAATTTCTTCACTCAGTTCAAAGAAATTGCTACTATCATCTGTTGAAGTCTGGCAGTGCAACAAGGAGGACAATAATGCAGTAGCATCCGATACAATAATCGTTTGTACAAGATCGATGGCAGGCTGGCGCAGAGAAGAGTGGAGTGTCAAATCTTTCAAAGATGACACAAGAGAAGGCCCCCTACAAGGAAATAGCACCAAAATGGCCATTGATGAAGTTCAGAGGAAAGAGGGAACAAAAAATTAAAAAAAATAAAAATAAAAGAAATATATCTGATCACCTTAATAACCAAATTAATCAAATGCATGTAGTGTAGTAAAAGATGGCTATCATAGAATATGGAAACAACAATAGCATATCAAGATAGCCAAAGCCCAACAGTCAATTTTAAATTTGATGCAAAACAGCAAAAGAAATACATGAACCAATAATAAATAAAACTGCATGGAGAATCTTAATTGTACACAACTTGTCACATCAAAGAAAATTAATTATGTTGTTTCAAAAAAAAAAAAAAAAAAAATATGAAAGAGTATGATTCTTACCACATATGAGCACACTCAAAAGGTGGGCTAGGCGGGTTCATCTTGTAACCACGATGGACAATAAGAAAAGAAATCTGCAAAGGATATAGAAAACAAACTTATCTACTCAGAGATTACAAGAGCCATATATTCAACCTATACAAAATTTACACAAGCATGATGATCAGGAGGGGTTAAGACCTGGCAAGCCTTTTTCCTCATCAGCATGCTAAAGTTACTACTCCTTGTTACTTGATGCAAGAGAAAGTATAAGAAATGCCTACGTTGCTTTTCGAATTCTCCGTCATGCAAAGATTCAAGAGACTGCATAGAGACAAGCCCCATTGATTACTGTTAGCGGGAAATATAGGAGACACTTAGACAGCTAAGGTGAAAGTGAAGGTGATAAAGAACCAGTCACATGCCTGCAAAAGTGGCTGGAAAAGATCAAATATTTCTTTATGTGTTTTCTCATTTCGTGTATGAAAACATTGACTAAGTAAAGAGTCACGCATAACACTTGGAGGCAATGACGTTCTCAACCAAAGTTTACAGCCTGAAAAGAATTTAGGAAGAGTCACAAAGTGATGTATCCAATGAAACCAAAAGAAGAGAATACCAACAAAAATCAGTTAAAACATACCCAAAATCTCAAAGAGCAACCTCATGCAATTGACTGCATGAGAAAATTCAGGGGAATCATCGCTGATGTGATCCAGTACAAAATTGAGAAAAACAGGATATGGTTCCAATATCCCATCTTCTAGTGCAGGAGGTTCCAAAAAAGAAAGCCTTCAACAAATCAATATGAGGACATAATTAGCCGGGTGAGCACAAGAAGTGAAGTCCCATGCTTTCAAAATACCAATGGAGCAGAGCCACATTAATTACATCTAAAAGTTCTATCATCCACATTAATTGAAGGCCAGACAGATACGTACAATGCTTTGAGTCCCAACCATATAGTAATATGATCCATATGCACTCTTGGCCTTGAATTTTCAGAAGTTGGCTGCATCTCATCACCAGTAAGAAAGCCAATGCATCTCTTAAGGAAAGGCTGGAGAGGTTCCAGCTCTGCAGCAGACCTTGCAAGAGAAGATATTGATGTAATGTACCAATATAAAGAATTGAATTGATTCACTATGCAACCTTGTTTGGGGTATAATTTGATGGGAACTTAGGCATGCATGATGTATTTAATCATTTACCTATGAACATCAGATCTATGAGCAGAACTATGATTGGAATTTGGTTCTCATCCCAAAACCTCAATATTTTTCAATTTAGCCCCAGGCCTCAAGGCTCTTCAAAATATGCATCAAAATAAACTTCTCGTGGCAGTCATTTTGCTAAATAAAAATTAATAAAACCACATCATAATGATTTTAGATCTATCGGTTGCAGCGGATGCCTCACATCTCATGTTATATGGGTATATGTAGACATGTAGTACTACCATCACCAGTGAAACTTGGCACCATATTCAAGTTTCAACCCAAAAATACATAAAATGATAGAGGTCAGCAGTTAGCTTGGGAATCCAGATTTAGCATATTATACAAAACAATATCACAAGAACGCTATAACTAATATCGAAACGTAAAAATACTTTCAAGTGACAGGGTACAATACCTCAACTTTCCCAAATTACCAGCTAACCGATGGCCAATAGATCGTGATTTTCTGCTTTTGAAAAAAAGTAAAGCGTAGACACCCTAATGACAGCCAAATTCAGGGAATTGATATCAATAGCATCAGCATAGGCACACAAGACAAATATATCAGACCTAAAAGTAAGAATACCGGAAAGTGCTGTTGCTTGGCTAGTGCTAATTCATGAGCATCATCAACAGCCTCAATCAATTTTTGGAATTCGTTGACAATGAACTCGTCGCCCAACAATATAGGGAACGTTAAGACCTGCAAATAAAATAAAGATGCAACATCATCACAACACAAAGAAACAGCCTCCATATAGATGGACATATGGTGTATAAGAGATACACATGCTGTATATAATACAGAAATAGCTGGCTATAGCATCATAATTGCATGAAAAACAAAATTAATTACACAAAAGCTTGTTATGTCAAGAAGAGGCCTAGAGGGAGAACCAAAAACAGTAATCAAAATTATCAAACAGAACATTACCACAAAAGAAAGGAAAAAAGTTCCTTGATGTACTAATGCACACAGATAGAAGAGCCATGCAAAGGGTGGCAAGCAGGCCCTAATAGGTTTGACATGAGAGGATATTTTCTTAGTGGACTTTATCAGAAGCACATTTCTCAGCCAATAGAAGAAAGAAAAAATGACATAATAAACAAGTGTGCCTATGTTCAAAGCTATGAAATGGATGGAACAGATCAACAGAAGGTAAAAGAACTAGAGACATTGTTCTTCCAATGGAACCAAAAATAGAATGCAGATACAAAACATATAGGAGTACTACAGTACATTCAATTACATTTCTCTTAAAAAAAAACCCAAATTCCTGTTTCAAAGTCTTATATGCATAATGATCAATCCAGAAGAGCCAATGCAGCATACCTCAAACATTAAACTAACAATCTCAGCATTATCATGATCAAGATGATACCCTCCTTGTGCAAGTCTTGAGTTTGCTTCTTTTATGTGTTCAGAGACTCTTTCTTCGTCAAGGCGCTGCAATATACTAAGTAGGGGAGAAATAAAACCTGACTCATATTCAGCTTTGTACATCTCTTGGGCTTGGTGGTGCCGAGAGATGCACTCTGTACACCTCCTCATTTCTTGAGATACCCTACCCCATAACATCTTAAGAAGGGAATCATCGCTCTCAACCTTATAGTAATTGAAAAATGTCTCTAGAAAAGGACCCATTATATCCCAATATCCACACCAAGGATGATGCGAACTGGGAAGACAAATCAAGAAATTGTATGCAGATGAAAACCTGAATCAGACAAATAACCAAATTTAAAAGAGATCAGGGCGGGGGGGAGGATGGGAATATGAAAAATGGAGTAGCATACTAAGTGAACAACCTTATATACTGAATAAAGGAATATGGAAATACATGGAGTAGCATTCTAAGAAAATTTCTTCATTATAATAGCTTTGTCCAAAACTTCTAAATTATACATGCATGAGAGTTAAATAGACAATTTGAGATACTTGCAATATTATGTCCGAGAAAAGAAGCCTCTAAACTTCAATATATGCCGGATAAACATATATACGGAGTACAAAGCTGACAACCAATCCAGCAACACCGCAGCAGCATTTCAGCTATTGAAAATTTCAACACAGTGACATTACGTTATCAATGATTCAAAAGTGAGAGTTACTATTGACAGTAGTACCCCAAGCAAAATACTTCATAAGTTCAAGAAATCAACCCAAATTCAACTAAACAAATTATCAATAATACTTCCTCCATTTTACTAAACTTGCAACACTTGCCTGAATTGGATGTTTCAAATTAACAAATACCACTCGGCCAACTCTTTTTCACTCCCCTCTTCTGTCTTCCATAAGATACATTGTTTACATTTATTTTTTTGCAGTATCTCCCCTCTTGCAATAAACAATGTCCAACTCTAAGAATTGTAATTATAGTAAAACGGAGGAAGTATCTATCTAACTATCTTCCTCTATGCTATTCAGAATCGGCAACGTTGAATTAACCATACTGAAACCATCAATGTCACACTAAATACAACATTCCCTTTCAAGTATGAATACATCTTTTACACTGATTGATTTCCTTAACCTACATTACTCACCAAAATATATGTATGCACCATGTTTAGCAATTATACATACATAATCCTAAACTCAAAACAAGCAAGCTCAATAATGAATCCCCCATACTATACTCCTACTATCACAAAAACATTGTCACATTGTCTCAACCCCTCGCAAATTTGTGGTAATACAATCATAATAATTGATTATTCTTCTCAAGTTCATTCAAGAGGTACACTGGAAAATCCAATTATGATACATTTTTATTCCAAGAAATGCAGCAACTTCTAAAGTTTTTCCGTACATCTTAAAATACTATACGAAATGTCAAAACAAGTATAAAACGAAATTTAATCAATTAAATGTGTCGAGTAGCACGAATCAATAAGAATATCACTAGCATTTATAATCATCAAAATAACAATCAAATCATTAAAGATTAAAAAAAAAACGGACCAATTTTCTTTAGCTTGTTGAATACGATTAAGGCGAGAAGAATCATGACAATTATGATGATCATCATCCTCTTGTTCCTGCTCTTGTTCAATAGCTCTCCATTGATCGAGAAGTTCATTTCTGCTCTTCAGTATTCTCTCCATTGATTTTGACTACGCTACTTTGCGGCGAAGGAGGACGAGAGAGAAAATTGTGTATCAATGGAATGGCGGCGAGTCTAGGTTTCCGACGCCGGCGAAGGGAGGAGAGAGTAAGGTTTCCGACGCCGGCGAAAGGGGAATTAAAGCGCGGGGAATGGGGTTTTGGGGACGAGCGAGAGAGGGAAGTCAGGAGTTTGATTTTCCCCAGAATTTATGGGTTTTTTATTTTTTATTTTTTATTTTTGTTTTTTTGTTGGGCCAATCTTCAAAAACGATGCTTTGCCCAGGGTTCAAGGGTTGTCTACGGTTTTTTCCCCCTCTCAACAAAAGAAGAAGAAAAGAAAACAAAAAAAAGCTAGTGTTCTCACTTCTTAGTTTTAACCAATTAAATTACTTAGCTACTATCGATTACGTTTCATGGAAATAAATGGACAACTTGATTGCTATTAGTTACGAGTAAAAGATAGTGCAACAAGCTTATCAATCACCATTATGGAGCAACAACTTATCATTGTGGAGCAACATACGATATCTTTGTAATTAAACAAATCTGTGTGGTTTTACCAAAAAAAAAAAAGTACTTATAACACATTTGGTGTGAAATGTGCTCTTTGTTGCGTGTTATGGATACTTCTTCCTTTTTGTTATTAATAAAATTATCACTTTGGTCCTACAAAATTACAAATGGTGTGACTTTTCATTAGAGAAGTTTTACCTTCAAATTGTTGTAGCTTTGGAAATATAATATGGTACACTAAGCTATTAACTATTAAGAGTTAAAGACTATAAATGGTTGTTACTTACCACTATGGAATATGGATTCCAACTTTCTTCACTTATTTGATTTTTCCTTGAGAGTTCTATTAGATTGTAAGAAAATTGTGACATGATCTAGGAATGACTTAGAATTAGAGCTTCAGTCTTCTTTGATACGTGAAAAGATGAACATGATTTTACTAGGCCAGAAATAGTACTCCCAAGAGTAGAATATACTTTCTGAATGAAAATTTTAAATCCCAATACCTCACCTTCTCCCTCTTATCCCCTTCATCGTATCCATTTACCTTTTCTCTCAACTTTCTAATGGCCTAGGTACTCCGGTATTATATCTATGAATGTAGCATGATAGAACAAAGCGCTGATCTAACTGAGACTTTTAAGAAAGCGTGTGAAGAGAAATTCAGAAAAGGTACTAAATTACTGAGAAGGAAATTGAACCTGAAGATAGTATGCAAACTTTTATTTACATTGACCTTGCAAAATTGTACAGATTGGAGTGCAGTCTAAACATTTTATACATCTGATGATCTGAAATGAGCAGGGTGTGATTCAGACCAAATAAGAAGACATGACATTCCAACTGATTTTCATGTGTGAAGGCATAGATGCAACAACTCGGAGGACGTCCGGTTTCTCATTGAGCTTAGGGTGGTAGTCTTCAGACCTCTGTCCCAAAACTCTGAGGAACTTAGCAATGTTAGGCAGAACAAGTTCTCTGCAATGGAGGTGTAGTAATGGAACTTTAGATAAAACACTGCCTTTCTGAATGTCCAAACCTTCTGGCCGCCGCAACTTGTAAGGCTGGCCACTTATTGGCTCAATGTCAACTTGAGGTGTCTGCTTCCACTTCTGATGCACAAACCAACCATACTTGTAATCACCCACAATGGGAGTGCCAAGAGCTTCAGCACAGTGGACTCGCAGCTACAGGTGGCACAAGGACATGAAATTATTACCATTTCCAATTGCATAAAATAAATGCTTCAGTTTCAATTAAAAAACAGAACAGCAAAATGCTGAATCTAGACATGGCCCTTAGCAAAAATTTCATTACCATGAGAGGAATAGTAGTAGCACTGAGCTGTAAACTCCTTTTTAAATGTCCTTCAATGACATTTTAATAATTTTATCTAAATTCATCATGCGGTTGTCTGTATTTTCCGACTACAGCATCCAAAGAGATAGAAATCCAACAGTCCAACTGTATGGTGTTCAATTTCTTTGAGTTAGCTGACTTGCTTAGTTGCTTAACCCAACAAAAACACTTTTATCAGACCTGATTATACAAAATTTCAAGAAACCTAATCCCCTTAGCAGTTCTAAGCAAAAATGGTACACAAAAATATTTTACCATTTTTACTCAAAGAACAGCAAATATGGCTTGCTTCTTCTTTACTATGTGCACAATAGGGAAAGAAAAATTAATGCATTGCTAATGCATCAGAAAATTTCTCATAGTCAAGCAACCAAATATTAACTTATATTCCATGCGTTGATTAAGAAGCAAATAGGCATCGTAGCTAGCTTACGATGAATAACACAGAAGAGGATAAATTTTACCTGATGTTTCCAGCTGGTATGTGGTTGTAGCTCAATCCATGAACACCCATTGATCATAGGGCCAAGTACCCGATACTCAGTCAAAGCTTCTTGATAAGCTTCTAAACCTGATGGATGAGCCAGCATTACCCTCTCGGATTTTCCATCATCGAGAAGCACCTGTAAAAAAAAAAAGCTCCCAACTCTAATAAACCTGATATATGAACAAAGAAGTACCAAAAGCACCTTTTATTTTCTGTGTGGGGGACGGAGGATGTGTCAGAGAACGAGAGAGAACCTTTGTGAGAGGAGCACATATTACACCTTCCTTTTCTCTGGGGATCCTATGACCAATGCCCAATATTTCATAAATGTAGCTCCACATGCATCATTCCAGGCCTATTAGATATTCTTAATTTAAAGTTCAAGATTTGCAACTTTAAACCAAAATGTAGACTAGAAAATCATCAGTAAACAGTGATAAATGGATGAATATCAATACCAGACATGATGTGTTTGCAACATTCATATTGCTAAACAATTTTTGAAGATAAGAAGTGCTCTCCTTTGTCCTTCCCATCAAAAGGATACCACTACTTTCTCTGTCAAGACGATGTACCTTAAAAGAGACAGGTTGGTAAATAATAAGATGGATGCAATTAGTATTCCATAATTTCAGCAACCTGACAACAGGAGAATATAAGATGCACTAATAGAAGCATTAATATGTCAAAATCATGTCAATTATCAAGTTATAAAAAAATAACTAAGGAGAAAAATCTATCAATGATATAACATAATGGATTCTGTCGTACCCCAAAGGCAGATAAATAATGGCAACAATGAGCAACAAGCTTGCGCTTTCAGAGCCTAGTAGCCTACGCATAAGCTAGGAGTCAGATGACCAACTTGATGTACAAAGAATCTGTGAAGACATAGAGTTACCAAACCAAGCAAAGTTTTCATACTCAATACTTCATTGGCTGAGCTTTGACTGGTAGGAAACGATCCCCACAACTCATTGCATACAATGTCATAAATTTGAGGTATGATAATTACATTTTTAAGTTTGAGTCTAATTCTACATGGAATGTACTATGTGAGTGATAATTATTACTTTCAAATAAGTATGTCATTTCTTCATTCACTACCTTTTATTAACACCTACAGATAAGTATGCCATTTCAAATAAGTATGGTAAAGAGTAAGTACGCCATTTCAAATAAGTATGGTAAAGAGTAAGTAGTAAAAAAAAAAAACTTGATAGTTTAGTAAAATATTTAGATTGGATGTTCAACTATCATCTTCTTACTCTTAATCTTCCTTAATTTTTCAATTCATAGCACTCATTTAACTTATAAATGACGCCGAAATTTGTTCTTATATGCTAAAATTTATTGCACATGGATACATCAATCAAATGGTCACTGTTGAGACAATTCTATCAATAGAATCCCAAATCAGAGAAGCAATAGGGAAAGAAAAAAGAACAAAATTTACATTCTTCAGCGACCATAGTTCAAGGAGCCTTGAGCTTAGACTTGATGCAATGTCCAACTCATAAGGGATATTGGGAAATGGGCATACAAATACTACTCGTATTCGCAATAGATATCACTAAGTAAGCAGGTACTGTTCAATCATCAATACTACAAAGGCAAAGCATATACTAACATACTACAAGCAATTGTGACAAAAAAGCTTACCAACTGAGGACCTTCCTCATAATCATAAGATAATGCTGCAGCAGCAAGAGCATCCATGCTGTTATGAACCGGCAAATTCCCCTGTCACAATGCAGTAATAGAAAAAATGAACAATGATTGCAATCGAACATTATTCTACAGAAAAATATAGATATGCTTTCTAATGCAGTCACCTGCACGGGCAACTTTGGAGGCTTATTAAGCACAATAATGGCCGAATCCTGAAATGTACAGCAGAAGAGGAGGAATCAGGACAAAATACAATCTGAGGCAAAAAAAAAAATTAAACATTTATAGATAATAGCTGGGGACCTGCCTTGTACTTAACAAGCCTCTGCAAGTAAGCTATTTCATCAGCATTTGGATTTAAAGTTCCACGTGGTATGGGATCAAATCGCCTTGAAATCCTACTTTCAGCAATTGACACAGGTACAAGGATTTTTGTACCTGCCTTCATGGCTTCATTGTGCTTAATCTGTAGATTAGCTGTAGAATTGTAGGAAAATTAAACCAACATGGAAAAATACAGGCAGGAAGAAACTGCAAGTGTACACATTATCAGACGACATTCTTAAACAAATGACTGATATGGACATTACCTTCCTTGTAGACGTCTTCCCTGGGATGCTCGACGAGCTATTTTTACTCGGATATTCTATCAGCACCTATGACCAATATACAACATAAATAGATTAGCAAACTTCCATATCCCAATGCTTAATCACATGCTCCTATTTTAATTTCCCCCTCATAAGTCAATTCTCTTAACCTAAAGGCTTAAACTTTAATATAATTCAGGGTTGCAACAATTTAAGCTACTATATACTTCTAGTAAACTTCTGGCTAGATTACAAATAAGGGAGCTCCTAGATGTTAACTCATTCGGATGACTGATTCATTTCTAAAGACTTTACTTCACCCCCGTAAACTTTACATGAACAATACTCTGAAACTTAAATTTAATTCTTTTCAGTGACTGATTTTTAAAAAACTATACTGCACCCCGTAAAAGTTTGCATGAACAATACCCTGAAGGCCTGAAACATAAAGTTAATTCATTTCAATGAACGATCAAATTCTAAAATAACCATGATTCACCCGGTAAATTAAACATAAACAATACCCTGAAATTTAAACAAGATATGATTGGTAATTATACAACCAAATAACATTTCATTTCACAAAAACAAGAACTGTGTAAACAGAAAAAACCAGCAATTAGCCAGACATAGAAGAAGCAATCGTATGAACTCACAAGGCCTTTATTGAAATGATACTGAATAACAGAATCATAAACTTCATCAAAATAATACTTGACCCAACTGATTGCAGTAACACGGGTATGCTGCTTTCCATTGGGGCATTTCGTCGAACACTTGGCGGGCAATGGGTCAGAAGGAAACGGAGGAAGAGCAAGAAGCTGACGGGGTTTTGGGCCCTCCTTTGGGCTTCCCAGATAGGCTATGTTGTTCACGACCCGAATCACTTGGTCGGGTCCGGTGGGCCGGGGCGGCGATATTCGGGAGTAGTGTCGAAGGGCGGTTGTTAGTGAGCGGAAGTAGCGGTGGTTTCGGTGAAGGAAGATGGTCATGGTTAAGTTTGAGGATGATTTTGATGTCAACAACTCTTAAGTCTGAAGAATGAGTTAGTTGTATCACTGGAAGATAGTTAGATAGTATAGGGAAAGTTCCGGAAGGGTGGCCTATGCTGGCCCGCGGAGCTTAATTGAGATGTTCGATACTTGTTATGGTTATGAATAGTAAATGCCTGGAGTATGGACGTATGGTTAATTTTTTTTGAGAAAATCCTCGTTCATCAGCCTTATGAACGAATTCATAAGAGGTTATGAGCATCATTTTGCCCCCTTTACTAAGGGTAAAGTCGGCACAGTGAAATATGGGTGTTAACTTCAGACTAACGGCGTTAACTTACGAATTGAAATGCAAAAATGGCATTGAAGAACAACACTCCATTATCATCTTTCCCTTGTTCAATTCCTTCTCTTCTCCTCTCTTTCACTCTCCTCTGTACCCTTTTTGTTCATCTTTAATCGAACCCCAATTGGTCCAAAACTGATTGAATTCATCTTAAACCCTTATTTCTCGCTCGCTTTTCCTGGAAGCAACCACCGCCTTCATCTGCAATCAATCTCGACCTCCATTGTTGATTCCCAAGATCTTTTGCTGCAATTCTCACTCTTCTTTCTGTAGAATTGTTCCTTTGACAGAATTTGAAGCGTCGTAAATTAGGAATTTCATTGCTAATAAGGTAGATTGGAGGATTCGAATTTGGTCAAATTTTGGTACAATTACCTAGCAAAGCTCAACACTTTTCAGATCCGACGAAGATCAGCTCAATGGATTGACGGCTCTTAAGATAAAATACCTACCCTTTGGGGTTAACATTTCCCTATATTTCTCACTTTTTCCTCAGGGTTTTCGTAAAATTTGGCGGCGGAGCCGCCGGAAACGGCCGCTGAAATGGTGGGTCGGGGTTCCTGTATGTCTTGGTGTTGGGTTGTTGTCTGAGATGTTGGTAAAAATTTTGCCATTGTTATGTTGACAAGGAAGGATGAGGAAGAAGGGAAAACAGACGTTAACAGTTAACAGTTATGTGTCATGTCAGCTACAAAACATGAAAATATTAAAATATTGAAAGATGCTTGAATATTAACGAAAATGCCATCTTATGAACAAAAATCGTTCATAAGACATATGAACTGGGGGAAGCTCATTTTTTTTATAAGAAAAAAACATTTAAAATCCTCCTCACAAGGGGAATTACTAATGCAACTGAAAAAAGAATGAGAATTAAATTAGAGCTATGACAAGGGATTCTATTTATATTACCGCTAACTACATGACTCATATTTGCTGTTTTATTTGCTTATTGATAGGAAAGTATAGTTGATAGGATATAAATTTGGTAAAAGTTGTGTGACCAAAAGTACGGTGGAGTAGTGAAAGATGAAACTCTATGTCCAGAAAGAAAAGAGAGAGCAAAATTATGAAATTTTTTGTTATCATCGTTTATCGTTTATTCACTTATTGATAACAGTTAGGTTATCTCCCTCAATATTAATATGGGAGATGTTATGGCTTAGGGGTGGGGATGGTGGCTGGGTGGTTTTTGATCGGGTTTTTTGGGTGGGGAAAGGGATGGGTGGCTGGGGTGGTTTTAACAGTGAAGCAGGGGGTTTCGGCGGCAGGGTGGGATAGAGGGCTTCCGTCGGTGGGGGAGTAGGGTGCCAGCGATGGGGAATAGGGCTGCCAGTGGTAGGGGTGGTGGTTGGGTTAGGTTTTAGGTTTTTTTTTTCTTTTAATTTTAATTTTGTTTTTTTTAAATAACCAATATAGCAGTGATGAAATCAATTTTTTTGGTTTTTTTTTGGGTGTTATATACTCCCTTCGTCCTATAATACTTGACACAATTACCATTTTCGTCCGTCCCAAAAACACTTGACACGTTACTAAATATGAAATGAGACCACTAATAATTTTTTTTTTACTATACTCTCTTTGGTATCACAAACCCCAAAACCTAATTAAATCCTACATTTTTTCTCTCATCACCACCCCCACCTTTTGTTTTTCTTACAATATAAAAATACAAAAGAGAATCCTTTATATAATAAACAAATATTTTAAATGGACTCACTTGTAATTTTCTTAAACTACGTTCCACCACAACGTCCCAAATATTATGGGACAGAGGGAGTAATAAAAGTTTTTTTTGTGGTGTTATGGTCCATTTTTCATCTTTTTGTGATGTTATAAGTCAAAAAATCTTTTTTTTTAATAAATTGATGACATTTGTCATGCAATGAAAAACATATGGAGGAGACCATCACGTGTCATGTATACTTTGTTTGGAACACCTTTTAATATATTGTATAGATGAAAAACACATGGAGGAGAGCACCACGTGTCACGTATATTTTGTTTCAAATGCCTTTTAATGTATAATAAATATAAATATAATATAGATGAAAAAACATATGAAGGAGAGCCCGACGCGACACATATACTTTATTTGGAACGCCTTTTAATATATCGTATAGATAAAAAAACACATGGAGTAGAGCGCCATGTAACACGTATACTTTGTTTGGAACGCCTTTTTATATATAGTATAGAAAAATTTGTGTCTTGGAAAGGTACTTGTAATTACCAATTCAATACATGCTTGCATTATTTTATCTTCAAAATTAATCATTTTGAATGTAATAAAAAAACCTTTTTGATTACGATAGGGCATATGTCACCCAGATTCCTTACTAGATACCTACACGATGGCATCAGAGTTGTATGTAGTTGTAGACCAATCGAGCAAGGATTGTCATTCTAGTCCTAGCCTCCTAGGATAGGTAATGCCCCTTCTTAAGAACCATAAAGAGTAAGCTTAAGGAAGTTTAAAAATCACTAAAATAATAGTAATTAGCAAGTCATGAAATTGTCTATTTTTATTTTTTATTTTTTTTATATTGTAAGATACGAGAGGTTTCCACCCTATCACAGGAATGAGGGGGATGAGGATCGAACCCCCAACTACTTGGGGAGGGGGGGGAGATGGAGGGACTAACCGTCGCTCTATCTCCTATGTCCTCTCATAAAATTGTCTATTTACAGAAGGAGAAAATGACAGTTTTATTTCTTTATAAAATATAAAGATGCATTTTTTTAAATACGAACATATATCCATTCCTACCAAACAAACACATTTCCGTCAAACTCAAAAAGATTCATTCGAAATTCAACTCCAAATCAACAATCACCAATTTGTAAATTGTGACTTATCTCAAAATATCTCATGCAAAAAATATCAGAAAAAAGCATCCAACTAAAAAAAAGTGCAAAAGAGATGCTCATAAGTTGCTCTCCTCCCGTGTCACTCTACTGCACAATTTCCAGACTACAGGCGTTACTTTCTTACCATCAACAACAAACCAAAACAAGGGTGCGGGGTGCGGCACCTGGTCCAACGTTGTCGGTCCCACTTGAATCCCATAAAATTCGTCAAACTTTTTTTGTTTTTCCAGATTTTCTCAAAAAATTTTAAGCCCAACAAAAATAACCCCATAAACCCTAAAAAAAAAAAAAAGCAAATAAAAATAGTTTCTTTGACAGTTCTTCTCAATTTCCCCCCCTTTCGCACCTCTTCAACTCACTGAAGAGGGAGCGACCAACATATCCTTTTTTTCTTTGATTTTCCTTTCTTTCTTTCTTTTTTTTTTTTTTCCAATTTATTTCAAATGATCCAAAAATCCCCATCTTCTCAGGTATGTCCTACAATCTGTCTGTTTTCTAAAGTTTTGATTTTGATTTTTTTGTCTGTTATTTTTTTTTTCTATTTATTTTAATTGTGTTTTGCTGAAATGGGTATTTGTAGAATTGATTGATGATATCTGGGGATATTTATTTTTAAAAAAACTTTATTTTATAATAATGGGTATAGAATTGAATTTGCAGAATAACAAGCAGTTGGTATTTGGGGATGTCCATGGAGCTGTTTTGCTTCCTAGAGAGATGGAGCTTGAAAAAGCCCAGAATTTGGACCTTAAATTTCAAGTTCCTGACATTGGCAAAGCGTTTCAGGTATATTTAATTATGTACGTATTTCTTTCGAATTTATTCAAGCTTAAAGAGGTTTAATTTGGTTTGGTTGCAAATGTATGTGATGAAATTGGACATTGAGTAAGATTTTATCTGCTGTTTCATCATGCATGAATAGATATCTTTCAATTGTTTAGCATTTGACACCAAATTCGCTGTCTGTTTAGTTGAATTGATGTATGTAATTGACTGAAATGCTGATATAATGTGGCTCAGGATTTTATTGGAACCAGAGAAGTAGGTGAGTTTCTTAGTGGTGCTCTTGCAGGAGCAATGACAAAGGCTGTTTTAGCACCGCTTGAAACTATCAGGTTTGCTTTCGTTTCGAATAATCTTCATGTTTTAATTGCTTTTGGCTCGTATATTGTATACATTGGTTTTGTTCTTCCTGAATGCAATGTTAAAGGATGCATGCAAGTTTGGCAAAATGTGTTGGAAACTGTTTTGGACATTAATGACAATCTGTGACTTGAAGTTTCTTATTCTTACTTGCATGTTTCATTTCATCTGACATTAGAATTGACCCTCTTTATTCAGCATGAAAACTTATCAACATGGTCTCCTGTAAATTGCAAGAACTGCATGATACCACATGTCCACATGATGCAAATTAATCTGTCCTGCATGCTGAAACCTGTATTGTCTTTTATTAAAATTGTGATGCCACTCTTCATCTGTTTCTTAGATTTTGTGTTTGGATTTTTTAATGAACTTGTGTGCATGTAAGCGTTTTGCATGTCTTCGCCAGATATTTATTTACTCTGCTTGAAGATTGTAGCAGGATTGTAAATTAGATGCTGTTTATAAGTCCACAACTTGATCTGAATTTATAGTTTTCGGCTTGTTGTCCATAATTTTTGCTATCAGAGATTTTTGACTCAGCAGTTAATTTTCTTGATGGGTAAAGGTGTTGAATACTGAGGCAATTGAATTGTACTTCCTTGGTTGCAATGAGTATTTGCTGTTTCAAATTTTAAGTGTCTAATCTGGCTGTGCTCTGGCCTTTTAACATCATGATATCAGGACAAGAATGGTCGTTGGTGTTGGGTCTAGAAGTATACCTGGAAGCTTTATTGAGGTCGTTCAGCAGCACGGGTGGCAAGGTCTCTGGGCAGGAAATACTATTAACATGCTGCGCATAGTCCCTACTCAAGCAATCGAGCTGGGAACATTTGAGTGGGTCAAGCGAACAATGACATCGACCCAAGAGAAATGGATCCGCGATGGAGATCCTAAGCTTCAATTTGGCGATATCACTTTGACCATTCCTCTCTCATGGCTGTCTCCAGTTGGCCTGGCAGGTGCTTCTGCTGGTATTGCTGGCACACTTGCTTGCCATCCTCTGGAAGTTGTTAAGGTATCTAAACTGAAGGCTTGCCGTCTGTTTTATTATCTTCTCCTCTGATCTTTCTATTTGTTTATTGACATAAACGTGAAAAGTCATCATCTTAATTGATAAGCATATTAGAAAGCCACTTCTTTTTTATTCTTCGATTTGATTGGGGGGATATGGTGAAGAATGCTGTTGTTCTTGAATACGTGGGGAATTTGTTTGATGTTTTCAATATGCCACATATTATTCTTTGATGTTTGCTCTGTAAATAACATTGGTTGTTGGCTTCCTTATGGCAGGATCGATTGACTGTGAGACCTGAGGATTACCCTAATTTAACAGTTGCTCTTGGTAAAATTTACAAAGATGGAGGTGTTCGTGCCTTGTATTCTGGTCTTGCTCCAACCCTTGTGGGGATGCTCCCATATAGCACATGCTATTATTTCATGTATGACAAGTTAAAGACGTCTTACTGTGTTGCAAAGGATAAGAAAAGGCTGAACCGTGTTGAGATGCTTTTGCTTGGAGCTGTTTCAGGTGAAACACTAGACTCCATTTTTTATTTTTGTTACATAAATGCTCTTGAGCTTATTTTGTGCTTTTCTATTGTTGAGAGATCATTCCATGCCATGATAAGCTAGTTCTTATAATTTTTATTTAGATGATAGGCATTTATGTGGTTAGTTAACTTTGTTCAGTCTTGCTTTGTATGATATATATTCATGTTAGGCCACCCCAAATCATTTTGGGACTAAGGCTTTATTGTTGTTGTTGTATTTTGGTAGGTCTTACAGCAAGTACAATTAGCTTTCCCCTTGAGGTTGCTCGGAAAAGGTTGATGGTGGGAGCACTACAAGGCAAATGCCCTCCAAATATGGCTGCAGCACTTGCAGAAGTAATTCGGGAAGAAGGTGTAATGGGGCTTTATAGAGGTTGGGGAGCAAGTACTTTGAAAGTCATGCCAAACTCAGGCATCACCTGGATGTTTTATGAAGCCTGGAAAGACATATTACTACTTGAAAGACGCCATTTATAAGCATCTTAAAAACCCTCGTCCCCTGTTTTAAGAGGAGATGATATATGATAATGTTCTTTTGCTTCAATTAGAATTTTGCTCATTGGCCCTCTATTACAACCATATTGAGAGGCTGTGTATCATTTAAAAGGAGAGAAATCTAATTATCTAGGTTCTTTAGGATTTAGGAGTTCGAAGCACATCGACTGAGCTACTAATCTTGTGTCGGCTTAAACTTTGTTAATTAATGAAGAAATTCTGTGAAACTACTCTAATGACTATGTTTCTTGAAGCACAATTACCCGTGGCCTACCTCACCGTGTTTGGGGGATATATTCCTCTTGTTTACCGTTGAAAGGTTAAACTTCATTAATGTTGAGCTTCGTTTGTCACTGTCGTACATAGTTCAATTGTATTGACATCATCAGTAAAGACATTGCAATTCAGTAGCAGAATTAGCATGTTTTAATAAATTTGCGGAAGACAGTTGGAATAACTATGATTTCCTCCAAATCTAATTAGCTTTTCGACTTGTGAGCATTGAAGACACATATGGAGTATGAACACTTCTCGCTTTGTTCCAAAATAAACGAAGGCATTTATTTCATAAACACAATCAATTTAACAATTGCTACCATTTACCAAAATTGTGACACATACAACTAAAATTGAATGAAAGCTACAATTAGTACACCAGTAATTGGTACAATATTCATATACAGGTATGGCAGAGGGGTATTGTTGGTGTTGTATACAGGAATGTCAGAGGAACGAGGCCTGCTGTATACATACTAATCCTGTATTTCTACTGCACCCTCTCTTCTTGCTAAATACTGAGATAGTTGACTACTGAGCGGCAGTGAGCTCTCGACAAACATGTAGAGGCAAAATAAACACAAACCTAAATGAAAATAGCACCATAAGTTAGCTACGCAATAAACGTGATCTGGATGTAACCAATACAAACACAATGGTAAGGGTGACCAGTAGTTAGTCACAGCACTAATTGGCAAACAAAATCAACAAGGAAGAGCAGGGAAAAAAAGTACTCCGTAATGAGTTGACGACTGGGGAAAAATGAGTAGCATACACCATGTACATTGTACAATCCTTTGGCACACAGAATAGAGATTTAAAAGGTGATTAAAAAATGTAAGTTGATTTGTGCTAGTATGACACGTAATCATGCTCTAAGCCTCAAACCAAACAAGCACATATTCTGATCTTAAAAAGCCTAAAATCAGTCTGTAGCATGTACCCAAGAAACCTAAGTATTGGACTCTGAATGGAGTAAGCAACCCAAGTGGGTGCAAGTCATCAAAAGTAAAACTACAATCAAGGGCATAAAGAAAGCATGATGAAAGGCCACCCAATGATGTTACATAGCCATGGCTGGGAAAGCAATTCCAAAGACCAGACTGAGGACAGTGAAATTTGCAAATATACATCCCAAATACCTGCCTAAATGGTCCCTAATGAAACTGAAAAGTATAACCAGCCAGGAAGCCAGTGATGATCTTGTAAGATGCAAATAGCAATAGCAATAGCAATAGCAATTTATTAGAAACTTACGACTACTGCATATTTAATAGAAAACACCAGCACATCAGATGTTCATTTTCAAATCAACAATGCAGAGTCACTCTTTAATTTGAAACTTGCAACAAAGAATAAACATTAACTTGCATAAAAATTTACCAATTGAAGCACATAATGCATAAGGAAACGGGTAAAGGAAAGTACCAGCATAAGCAACTGTCACCCCAGAGACGATCCTTCCCAGAACTGACAGAAAGTAAAGACTGACAACCACCTGCAAGACACACAAGACGATTATGAAGTACCAATCTGTGACACCAAATTCTTCTCTAAACATCCATATCAGATCACAATTCACAAACGTGGCAACTAATACTAGGTCCATCACATGGTCAAGACAGATTTATTAGAGCAACTTGAAGAAATACAGCATCCATAACAACATTTACTAAGACTGAAAACAACAAAACATAACATGTAATAAGAGTAAAATTGATCTTCCATATTTCTACGGACACAGGTATGTTCTGGTATCACACAGTTAATGTCATAAGGTTCACAATCATAATAAGAACAAGACTCTTAAAAGAGAATGCACATCCCATTTTTGCCCCACTATTGACAAATTCTGAGAAATACAAGCAATAAGAAAACTTTATACAATGCATATGAATGTGAATCAGCATAACCAAGAAGAAGTCCAAGAGGCACATAAGACTAAGAATTATATACCCGAACAAAGAGCCTCTTATCATGACCCGTAGCCGCGACTCGAAGAACAGACTCAGCAGCCCCGACAGTGTTAGCCAAACACGCAAAGATACTGTTGGCAGTGTCTTGTGAAATCTGCCATTCTAATGGATCCACTGGTACCCTGCATTTCCACAGAGTACAATAAAAATACAATCCAAACCCAAAAACACTACCCTTTCAACAATTATTTCCAAATATTCCATTCCATATCACCAAAAAAAAAAAAAAAAAAAAAAATCAAAAACCCAATTCTTGAATTCAAATGTAAAAACTTCCCAAAAAATATTAAAATTATGAAGATCAACTACAAGAAAACTTCAAAGGGTTCACATAACAGCATCAAAAAATATTAAACCCCACATGATCGCCCTCATTAATAAGAAACCAAAACCCTAAAAAGATATCTCGAAATGGGTAATTCAATTAAACAAAAACCCAGTTGAAATAACAATCAAAATTGGGGAAAACAACAAAAACCCAACAAGAAAAAAAATGGGGAAATCACAAAATTAATGAAAAAGAAGAAATCACATACGAAATGTTGAAATGGCGGAAGAGGAGTCCGAGAATGGCGAGAGAGCAGAGAATAACGAGGAAGACATCGGAAAGAAGAGAGAGAAAACTGGAATTGCGGAAACAACAATGGTAATAAATCAATGTTCCGCTAATTAGCAAAACAATTGCTTTTCCTCCTTGTTGGCTTTGATGTTGCTGCACATCGTCGTCTTCCATTTTTCTCTCACTTTGATCAAATTTGGGGATTTTTCAGTTTCTTTCTGGTAAGGTTTGCCGGTTTAGGGGGTTTTTAGCACTTTTTTTGGCTTTCTAAAGTTGCCTTCTTTAAATACTTTCATTATGATAGATTAGGTGATCTTTAAAAAAAAAAAAAGGTAAATTTATTATCAAAGTGATTTTTTTGACACTAGAGTGCAATTTTCAATTTTCACTCCGTCACTTATATGTGTGTCAAAATTAGTTTTCAGTTTACCACGTAAATACTGATAAGAGTATAACGTATTGTAGAAGTGATGCACTCTCTTTGTTACTTGTTATTGCATTGTGGAAACTTAGAAAGTTAAACATTCCAAGAAGTCAATCTAACTAGATTCAAATACAATTTTGGTTATGTATTAATCACAAAATGTGGTTGAAACATACATAGTAGTGTATGGGTGAATCAAAAGTGTAACCAAAGCCATATTTAGACAATATTTGAATAAAAAAATTATTTCACCTTAAGTGGATTATACTTCGTACGAATATATCATATGAAAGGATGGATGGATCTACAATAGGTTCATTTTCTGAAAACATTGTTTAATGTTAGAGATTCCATCACTCTCAACTTCTCAAGTCTCATGTCTCAATAGAAATTACCAAATTTCTAAACAACAAAATTACCAAATTATTTATCTTCCCTATACAAAAATATAAATTTATCTCCTAATTAAAGTGTTAAAGATATAGGATAAACTTTGACAGCCACTTAAAATTCGAGATAATTTAGGCTTGAGGATTGTATATATTATTTATTAGTCTTTGTTAAAATTCCTGTTTTTTTTTTTTCTTATTTGCAATTTTCCCTAAAAATTACCCGTTAGATCGAAAAACTTCTCCACTCTAAACTTTGACCAAAAAAAAAAGAAAAAGAAAAACAGAAGATGAGAATCTTTGCGATTATTTTGGTTCTTCTTTTGCAGTTTCAGCTTCTCGTAATTACTACCAACTGCTCCAGTCTAGGTAACAAATACAGTATTTACTACTTCATTCGTATCTGTTTCCTTTAATTTATTATTTAATTTGTTATTCTTGTTGCAATTAAGATTTTCTTTACATGAATTTGCTGCAAATTCAAGATACTACGGCATTTTTCGTTACAATTACGGTGTTCTCAGTTTTAGAGGGTACGTATAAGAGAGTTTGTGGGAGATGAGCCAAAGAAACTTGTTACGAAGTTAACCCTAATTTGTGAATAGCTCTATAATAGTTAACACTTGTCAATCAAACAAGATCCGAGAATATATAATAATGTATATGTATATCCTATTTTTGTCACAATAGTAAAGATGCAAAGTGAATTATTACAATTTAAGAGTGTTTTTTTTTTTAAAAAAAAAAAAAAATCACTTTTAACTAAAAACTTTGCCATGTGGCGATTATATGTATAATAATCGCTAGGATGTACAAATCTTCTTATTTGAAAATATAATGCTTCATCCTAGAGTATTGAGTAATTTATGTTGCATTGTTAGTGAGATATTAAAAAGATACGTAGTACAAATTTCAAATTATGTACAAGTGTTACAATGATGGTATGATGTAAAAAGAGTGCGTGGAACCATTGCATCGTATTGTAATTTGATATTTGAATCAAAATTACAATCATGTAATCTGATTAACCATTCCCATTGTTAGTTTATCAAATAAATTTTAATTCTTATTGCATTATACATGTCAAACAGAAATACAGGAAGAACATAACCACATGAAGGTTGTGGAAAATAAGCAGGTGTATATTGCAGCACTCCGTAAGATTGGAGGTAGGGGAATAACAGGTACTCACGCCAGTAGAGGTGGTCACGGTCTTGGCGAAGGAGCCTCAACAACTAAGGATGAAGTTGCAACTGTAGGTGGACTCCGAAACAGTAAATTTGTTGATGTAGATGTTGTGGCTGCAGGAGCTGGAATCGCAGCTGCAGAAGAAGCTGCAATCGCGGCTGGAGAAGGAGCTGCAGTCGCGGCTGCAGGAGAAGCTGCAGAAGGAGCTGCAGCCGCGGCTGCAGGAGAAGCTGCAGAAGGGGCTCATACTGCTGCCAATACGGCTGCTGCCACTGCGGCTGCTGCTACAGCTTCCGTGGCCAGTGAAGCAAGATCAATTAGTCCAAATGCACCCTTTGGGCTCACTCTTTGTCTAGTTTTAGCATCCAGTGGATTATTATTGCTTCCTGAGTTTTAGATTTAAGCCTAGCTACTAGCATGTGCTGACTAATAGTGAGTTAATTTTATATTTTTTCCGTTGATGGTTTTTCAAATGATGAAAATAATCTTAAAGACTTAAAATTGTTCCTAAGAAATTAATATTTTCATTAATGTTTTATATATTACGCGTGAATATACAAATGCTGAATACAAGCCCTCCTAATGTAACGTAGTAATTAGAATAGGTTTTATGATTGAAAGTTATTTCTGAACCAATCAAGTATACACTCACTTTTTCTATTTTGTAATTTTTTAAAGGTATCTCATTTTAAAATTTGCACAATTTCATATGTACCACTTTGACTATTATTTGTACTTTATATAATAGTATGTATAAGATTAATATAGACATATGGATACTTATTAGTTGGATGAAAAAGCATTGTCCACGAACCATGTTTAACTAAGGAGGTTCTACACGCCACTTGCAAGCGCATCTCCTATTAAATTTCTTAATCCGAGACACAAGTTCATCCATCTTTCTTAATCCGAGACCTAAGTTTCTTAGGATTAACCAGACAAAATTGTTGAAGATCAGAGATTACTACGAGTAAGTCAAGGAAGTTCAGTGTAAACTATTCATTATATTCTTGTAATAATCTTATCCTTACTTCTAGTAGTTATCGCCTTATCGGTGCATATCTCATAGATTATATTACTATATACTAAACTTAAGATGTTTATCTAGTATGTATATGCTTTAAATAGAAAGCGTATAATCTAATATTATTATATAAATAAAGTAGACATTTTTGGAGAGTATTTGGAGCGCCACGTAAGAAATATACTTATTTCGACCAATAAGAAGAAAGATTTGTATTTTATTTTTGAATTAAAAAATTATGTCGCCACCTAGATAAAAGTAACGAATTAGATTTGATATATCTAAAATTTTAATGTCACATACATTATAATCCACGAATTAAATTATTTTAATGAAAAAAATAAAATAAAAATATAGGAAAAGATAAATTTATTAATTCAATACTACGAGTATAAGAAATCCAAAAAAAATATACTAAAAAATATTTAAATGATAAACGCTTATAATAAAGTTTGATACCTATCATTATAAGATAAATTTTGATAGTATTTCTGATAAGAAATACAAATTATTCGTTAATTATAATTAAATTAAAAGTTTTGATACACGTTTTTAATAAAGTTTGATACCTATCATTATAAGATAAATTTTGATAGTATTTATGATAAGAAATACAAATTTTTCGTTAATTATAATTCAATTAAAATTTGTGATACCTACCATTATAAATTGACACATCATACGAGTATACGACACAAACAAAATTTCGTATCAATAAAAAACCCCATCAAGCGAATTTTGTGTTACTAATTTTGTGTTAATTTTTGGTCATCAATGGCCGGGTAATTTTTAGCTTAATTTTTAAAATCCTATGTTTAAATTAGTATTTCTAATTATTACTTACATTGTATAAATTTGGGATACTCAACAATTATATATTTATATTTTATTTACTAAATGTTTTTTTACATGCAGATCTAACATATCATACGACACAAATAAAATTTCGTATCAATACAAAACCCCATCAAACAAATTTTGTGTTAGTTTTAGGTCATTAATGTCCGAGTAATTTTTAAAATCTTATGTTTAAATTTATATTTGTAATTATTAGTTACATTGTATTTATTTAGGATACTTAACGATTATTTGTTTATGTAATGACATACGATTAGATGTTGTATACTTAATATATGGATGGCTTTGGTTATTTTTGGAGATGATGAAAAAATTCCAATGCATAGATTTGATTTTATATCGCAACAATTTTTCATTTATTGGTAAATATATTGATTTATTTTATATAAATGTAAAAATTTAATTTATATCAAATTTAAGTTTGGCTAACATTTCACGGTTCAATTTATCCATTGATGTAGTAGGTTGGTTGTGGACGAGGTTAGTGATTCTATCGAAATAAAAGATATAGTAAAACAATGAATAACAATTTAGGATTTAAATTATTAAAAAATTATCATTTCACATTAAAGATTTTATATAACGGAAAAAATATTATATTTACAATTTATTTATATTTAATAAATTCATTATTAATTATAGTAAAAAAAAAATATTAAACTTTTGTAATTTTGTCTGAAATTATTAAATACAATAAATCAAATAATTAAAAATCTTAGATGAAAAGACCGTGCACACACCGTGCTCAATACATCTCACTGCTAGTTGTACTGCTTTCCACACAGTCAGATAGTTGTCATCTACACACACCGTGTCTCAGGTTTTGGTCTAGTATGCTGGCTATATCCCCTCTTTCAAGCACGCTCCTAACCCATGACCCAAGTTCATGACTCTGTTTACTATTGCTGTTTTCCCTGTGATTAGCTCCAACAGAACAACCCCAAAGCTGTAAACATCGCCTTTTACATGCACCTGTCCTGTTAAATTATACCTGTAATAATCATTGTGGCATAAAAGTTTTAGCCCACTTCAATTAGTAGTGTGCAATGTATTACTTTGGTAAAAGAGTGTTAGAATATGTAAGATAGTCATCTATGAATGACTGAAATGGCTCACTTACTGAGGATCAAGATAGCCTAGTGTTCCAACAACCCTTGTTTGTAAATTTGAAACATATTCAGCTGGGAAGATTTTGGAAAACCCAAAATCAGCTACCTTTGCTCGAAATTCTTTGTTTAGAAGAATGTTAGTGGGTTTCACATCTCTATGAACTATAGGCGGGCTGCAACCATGATGCAAGTAATCCAGTCCTACATATAGAGTTACACAACAAATTTTAATATACTGAGTGATCTGATAAAAAAATCTGATTTAGAAGCAGAAACGAATGTTATCTTATATCTCTCACCCTGAGTTGTGTCGATTGCTATCTCAACTCTCTTTCTCCAGCTTATAGAGTCAGAATATTCTGTTCATAAACCACCCAAAAATTGAATTGATTGTTGTTGAAAGGAAAAAAAAAACATTTGGTTCAATTAATAAGTGCAACAGTTAGGAAAAAATAAAGGACTGTAGAAGTTTTAGGATGCAAGGTCCTACCTGAGAGAAGAGCTTTCAAGTCTCCCATGGCCATGAACTCGTAAATAAGTGCCAAGTTGGTTCCTTCTTCACAGTATCCAACGAGAGAAACCAAGTTCTTGTGAGAAATTCGACCAAGCACTTCAATCTGTGCCAAAACATTTCCTAAGGCTTTAGCTCTCATATCATACAGCATAAATGATATCAAGAGAGCATGATTCTCTATTTGGTTGCCTAATTACGAACCTCAGTGCTAAATTGCTTAGGGGCCTCGGTCTTTGAGAACACCTTGACTGCAACTTCTTTGATGCCATCTTTTAAACAACCATCATCTGTGAGTTTTGAACTTTTCTCATGTTGATTGTGGCGTTGGTCTATTATAATTTATAATTTAGTTCAATTATATTTCTATTATTTTTTTTTCAATTTTACGTGTAGGTGCATGGGGAGCTAAATGGAGCTGAAGTATAGTCACTAGTCATCTAACAAATGGTTCATATATGTTGGCGACTCTTATTCAAGTTCCGGCTTTGTGAAGATTTGGAAATTCCGGCTTATATATATGTTGACAATTTGTATTTTGGACGATTAAATTAATTATATAACTTTTATTTTTTATTAGTAGGGTATGTCATACCAAAAACAAGCAAGTAATATTTTGTAATGTACGTATTTCGCATTATAATTATTATATATAAATGATACTTTGTTTCCGTTAGTATATTTAGATTTGTACTGACTAATTATACATATATTATATTTACCATTCCATCCCCAAAAAAAAAAAAAAGTGATCAATCCGTTGCAGTAGATACATACTCCTATCATTGTATTAATTAGCTTCATCCGTTGCATTAGGTGTCAATTTCATCATAATTATTAGTCAGTACTCTATTGCCACGGATAATTTATGCCGTTGCAACAGGTATTGGTCTTATGCCACGGATCATTGATGCCGTGGCATTAGGTGTCATATGCCGTTGCAATAGACCTACTGCAACGCCAGTAGATGCCACGGTACATGGCCGTTGCATTAGGCCTAATGCCACGGATTTTGACGCCTAATGCAACGGATTTGGGGGTTGCAATAGATAAAAAATGTAGTAGTGTTTAAATAGAGAATTAAATTCAAGCAAAAATGTTTGAAAAATCAAAATACGAGTTTCTCGCTCGCCTGTTTGACATATTTACCTTTCGCAAACAAGATAGCTTAATAAGTTTGGATATGATCCTATTGAACGATGAGGTATTATATCTTTATAAATTGTTTATATTTATTAAATTTACCTTTTTAGTTTTTATTAATTAATTTTATAATTAAAACAAATTTTTTGTGATTGAGGTAGCTTAATCAAGTTATTCAATTAACTTAATTTTTTAATTTTTAATTACAGGGTGACTACTATACTTTCATGCCTCGATTAAAGCCAACTCTGTTCAACACTTTCGTCCAAAATTTATTGAACGAAAAGTTTACTCCTTAAAAAAACTTTCAATGCATAGATTTGATTTTGTACAATTATAATTTTTAGATCAATTTCGCAACAATTTTTCACTTCTGGGTAAATATATTGATTTATTTTATAAAATTGTAAAGATTAATTTTATATCAATTTTATTTTTGCTAACATTTCTGTGTTCAATTTATCCACTTTTATTAGATGGAGTAGATATGGTTGTGAATGAAATTGGTGATTCAATCGAAATAGAAGATAAATAATGGAATACATGTTTTTATTATTTTTTAATATTGATTCTTATCTATATTTATGTGTATCTAATATTTTTTTGTTATTTTTTTTAATGTTCTTATCAGAATATTAATTATGGGGAATAAATTACATAAATTAATAAAAAAATTATCCTTAACAAACAAAAGCAAATTAATCAAAATGTTATGAGTATGATCTAATTACAAAAATTATTTTTTATGTGATTTTATTTTATGTATAAAAAACCGTGCATCGCACGGACTTTCATCTAGTTCATTAATCAAATTTATGGATATGGTA